TTTTTTTTTTTATTTCCTTTTTCTTTTGGTGCCTGCATGGTTAATAATGCGTTCTGATAGTACTGAATTGACTTTGTTTCTTCCAATATATAAACAGTAAAAAGGTAAGAAAAGAGCAGGTAGGCCCAATAAAAGATGAGAATGGGAGATTAATCACAAACAACCGGGAGAGGGCTGAGGTGTTAAATATTTTTTTCTCCTCAGTATACACTCAGGAAAAAGACGGGTTTAATGGAGATAAGAATGGGAGTAGCTCAGTGCGTAAAATACCACAGTGGTTGACAGAAGCCGGGGTTCAGCAAACACTTAATAAACTTAATGCAAATAAATCAATAGGACCAGATAACCTGCACACCAGGGTACTTAACCTTTCTGGCAGTAATCCCAAGTGTGCCTCGGGGTTAATGTTCAGTACCAAAAGCCGTCGGGAGCCACACTCGGGATTACACTGTAGCGCCACTTACCTTGTCCCTACGAGCCCCGCTGTGTCCTCCGGCCGATGCCGGCATCCGTCTTCCGGGTTCCTTTCCTGCGAGCGCCGGCGTCACAGGGGGGCAGAACCGGTGGGAAATTCAAAAGTAAAAAATAGAAAAAAATTAAAATAAAGAAAAAAATAAAATAAAAAAGCCCCCTTCAACAGAATCATCTGATGAATCAGATGATTCTGATGAAGGGGGCTTGCGGTGACTGCGGTCGGTGGACGGTGATGTGACAGGAGGCTACTGTGTTACATAGTCGGGGGGATACCATGTTGGGTTAACAGACAGTGTGGCCTCTCATTTGTTGTTAAAGCCTGATGAAAACGTTTGTTTGTGAGTACCTTTATCCCTTGTTTTATTTATTGTAATAAACGATTTTACACACGGAGGTGGCGCTCTGTTCCCTTTTGTTTTCTTTTTCAGATTGGTCTAAGGTCGGCAGTGGCGTGCCACAGGGTCCTGTGCTAGGCCCCATATTGTTTTGCCAGTTTATTAATGATATTGGGGAAGGTTTTAATAGCCATGTATCTGTGTTTGCAGATGTCACTAAAATTGGGAGGGTAATAGACACGGGTGTAGACAGTATAACATTAAAGGAGGACCTGAATAAAATAGGGGAGTGGGCAACTATATGGCACATGAGGTTTAATGTTAAAAAAAGTATGCAGTCCAGTTTTGGTCACTAATCCACACAAAGAATGTCCTGGAGAGTCCAGAGAAGGGCAACTAAACTAATTAATGGGGCTGGAGGACCTTAGCTTTTAGACAAGGTTGCTAAATTTAGAAGTGTTCATGCTGAAAGTGAGGCGGTTAAGAGGGGACATGAGTTTAATGTACAAAATGTTTAGTGGTGATCGCAACATCCACAATAAACATTTTACTGTAAACTCCCTAACAAAGACTAGAGGCCACCACCTAAAATTGGTGGAGAAAAAATTTAGCCACAAAGGGAGTAGGGGATTATTTTCAGTCAGAGCAGTTAAATTTTAGAACTCTCTGCCAGGAGCAGTGGTATCAGCAGAGAGTATTGAATTATTAAAAAATCAATTAGATACCGTCCTAAGAGACCGTAACATACAGGGGTACAGGTACTCTTAAACCTAAGACAACACAGGGACACATAAACACACATGCACGTACTACACACACAGACAAACAAAGGTTGAACTCGATGGACCTGTGTCTTTATTCAACCTCAAATACTATGTAGCTATGTAAATAGGAAAGACTAATGAGATGATGTAACTTACATTTGGGTATCCTTTTTGCACATTACAAGTGAGAGCTAGTGACTTATCTTTCCTTGGACTGTTGCACGGTGCAATCCATGTCATCACTTCGAGCACCAATGAACATTTTGTTTGGTTCAAGTGTTGTATGGTGTGCAGGTGATTCTCTAACGCTATTTACATTTGGGTAGGTTGCATTAAACCATCAAAATGGTTTGCAACCTGTCATCAAGCATGCAGAGAATATCTCTGTCTCCAAGCAGACCTGTTTGTTTTTGGTGAATCGTTTCACATAATGCATAGAGAGAACCAGACCTTAGTCTCTCAGGGTGCGCTGTCAGGAGCACTTGGTGGGATTAGAGATGTGCTAAAAAAAGGCCCCAAAATGCTTGCATTACAGAGGTGCCCAGTATTGGAAAATTTTGCATAGGGAGCAGGCAATTGGTGAGCTCTTAAGGTCTATTTACTAAAGGGTGAAGAGTTTGGAGAAGGCAGGAGAAGTGAACAATCTAGGCCAAAATAGCTGATTTGGAAAAATTCTCCAATTCAGCTCACTTGGTGTGCCAAGGTGGCGAACCTTGGCACTCCAGCTGTGCCAAAACTACAAATCCCAACATGCATCTGCCTCTGGGAGTTATGTCTATGGCTGTCAGAGCCTTGCAATACCTCATGGGACTTGTAGTTCCAAAACAGCTGGAGTGCCAAGGTTCACCACCACTGTCCTAGATTGTTTACTTCTCCTGCCTTCTCCACACTCTTCACCCTTTAGTAAATAACCCTGCTAGTGTCCAAGATTTTATTGTTGTACTTGCAATAAAACACCATATAATGTCTTGTGTGGCTACTTGTTACTTCTTCAGATCATGTGCATCACATACACTTCAGTTGGGCTATAGATTAAGCTATCAGCAGTGAGAAGTATGCTCATGCACACTTGTTGCTGCAGACAGCATTACCCAAAGCCCCGAGTGAAGTGCATGTGACGCATCTGTTCTGAAGAACTGGCAAGTAACCACAAAATGCATTGAATGGTTTTGTAATGTAACTATAACAAATAAATACACTCTATTGTAGAAAAGCTCTCTGGTTCTCTGCTCCACACATAAAATCCACCAATACTGGGTATTTCTGCAACACATGCAATTCGGGATTTGCACATCTCAGTTTCAGAACACATGAATTTAGTAAAATATGCTTAGCCACGGAAAGGATTGCTACAATGTCAATAATTAACATTTAACTGAAGAATTAATTTAAGAGTGGAACATTTTGTATTTGGTCTACATTTCCAATAATGCTCTACATTTTTTTAATTGGCTGATTATTTCATGAATATATTTTGGTTACAGATGGAAATGAGAGGTGATAGACTTGACTGTCAAGCAGTGTGTACTTGTATTATCTAACAAGCTGTAAATAAAGTACTGCATAAGTCAGTGTCAGTTTGAGCTAGGTACTCAATGTGTTAAATTGATAGTGAAGATTACAAGGTTAATTGTCAGGTAGCAGAAATGTGCACTGGAAAAATCTTTTTGAGCCTTTTTCAATGCAGCACAATCAAAATAATACGCTTCTGCTGAATGAACCTTGGTTCAGTGAGATCTCTATTCAATTAAATGTCACAACACTTCCAGAAAGAAGATGGTAACATTAATCATTCCTGGCATGTATGTGCAAACTGGTTCTCTTTATTTTATATGTGAATGACTTTTCCCACTTGTAAATTTTCATTTTATCTCTCATTCTCTGTATTTTCTTTCTTCAACCTAGAGTCTCTTCCCCTGGGATTGCTTCCACTAAACAATGACGACTCTTACAGTGTGCATGTAGCATATATCACAGACAAATTGCACACTGAAAAATACCTAATTCCAATGCTGAAGTTTATTCAAAGTGCTAGAAATTTTTTTTAATTTGTAAACTAAATTAAGGATATTCTATGGCTATGGGAATGTCAAGAAAAGCAGAGACATGAATAGCAATGGAGGGTGCAGCTTTAGAAAAGCAAATATTTTGTTGGTTAGACACGAGAGCTATTAAAATAGACCCTGTACGAACAGCATTTGGTATAATGTACCTGAAACTGTTTTTATACAAATTCACAAATGGCAGACGTGTTAAAAATCATATAGCAGATTTTTTTTTTCTGGTGAAGGTAATAACTATAAAGCAGGTGTGTCACACACATACAGATACTTGACATAACTTAACAAAGGATGATTAGTGCTGAAAGAAGATGAATAATTAAAATATGTAGTAAATGTTAAAATGTATGTCCTTAATTTAAGAATTGGGTGTGACTTTTTTTTGCTATATTTATTGTTAATGCCATAAATAACCGATTTCCTTTAAAAGCATAGACAATATTTCCAAACATATTTTAGTTGCTGTGAGCAGTGTATTACAATTTTCTCTAATCAAATGAGCTAGAAATCCAGTTACTGTTTTCAATGTAAGCCAGGAGCAATAAAAAAAAGTAAACAATTTTGTACCCACATTCAAAGGTGCAGCAGGACATTAAAATTATTAGAGATTTAGCCAGGCCCATACTCACTATTGTCAATTCTTTTTGAACAAATACATTAAATGTATGGAACAAACCATGTCCCTGAATTGAAAAAGCAAAAATGTCCTGCAAATGAAGCGTGTTAATACTTACCTTTTTTCTGCTTTTGCCTTTGATCGGCACTCTCCTATAGATCTACAGCCACTGGCAAAAATTTAGCATCAGGAGGCATCCAGGGGTGTTGGATACCCACATCCCCAGCTGTGTGCTGTGGTTCCATTAATGTCACTAATGCAGTCAGTGGCAGGGATGGAGGCTCCCAACACACCTGGCAGTGTTGGAAGCTGAGGATTCCACCAGCAGCCTTAGTCCTGCTAGATGGCAAAGATCTGAGGCATGGGGAAGTGATAGGTAAGTGTTTAAGCTCTTCGTTTGCAGGATTTTTTTTTTTGTTATTAATTCAGGAACAATGTTACTTTAATAAGAGCATCAAAAGCTTGATGTTACAAAAATCAGCTACTTAGGCATCCATACAGTCCTTAGTTTTAATAAAATAGCTCTGACCAATCATCACATTCTGCTGTACTGCGGTTGGTGGGTTCATTGTGTCTGGGCTGTTTCCATTTAAGAGCTTTTACTATAAACTTGTGTAGGTATCCTATTCTAGTTGCCAACAGCAGGGTCTAGTTTCAGTGGAAAAATTGTCTGATTTTTACAGTTTTATTTTTATGCAAGTCAATGACTCTAAATACCTTACAGCTCATTAACTTAAAATAGACAGTTTACCTTGATCATTCCCTGAGATGATTGCATACACAATAGTCTGGTTTAACGCTGCAGCCATTACCACAGTAACAGTGGTCCCAATTGGAGCAGCTTCACTCACTGGAGGTGGTCTGAAAAAGATTATATTATAGGTTTTAAATGCATGATACATAATACATTCATCCATTGCAAAATATTGATCCACCATAAATTTGTATACATTAGATAGTGGAATGATGGCAATTTAAGGAAAATCAATTCAAGGGGATTTTTAAAGAGACATTAACTAGCATTAAGTTTTTTTTTTTTTTTTTAAGACTGTTATCTGTGATTGATCTTTACTACCCAAGATTACATTTCTCACACATATGCCATTTACATTAAATTGGTCTCTATACATATTTTATAACTATTTACCCTACAATGACTTTTAGAGACAACTTGTTCCCCATATTGACAATCAGAAACTGTATTTTAACACAAATTTAGCAGGTGCTATACATATATAATTCAAGAAGGCAATACACAAGACATTCACTGCTGAGTAGGCTGTGTAAAGAGCAGACATGTACAAACAGCAGCGACCCTCAGCAACCATATTTTCATTTTACTGAAGCTGGATTAGTAAAAGAAATCTTCTGATTGACTGCTGTGACATACAATCCTTTAAACACTGCTCTCTGATTTATTGAATAAAGTATAGGTATCTGTGCTCTGTGAGAATATACAGTGGATGTGCTACAAATGTATCATGTGGTGGACCAGGTGATCAGAGATCAGGGTAATAGCTACATCCTCTAGGTCTCCAGAATCCCTCCACACCTTTTACTGAAACAAATGTCTCATGCAGTGCAACAGACTTCAGGAAAACATGATTCAGTGGCTAAACATATCACAATGAAGCTTCCATTACTGTAATGAGGAGGAAACGAACACATTCATGTGGATCTTCTAACTAAATATACCATGATGATTCTTCAGTCTGTGTAACAAGGGAAATGGAGACTGACTCTTAAATCAGAATCAGCATTGAGTGACCCCTAGCAATGAGCCTGCCAGGAGTGGCTACTTACACTATTTCTACAGCTACAAATCTGATGCTAGCACCACACTAGATATATACTGAAAAGTTATACATAGCAGCTATATACTCTGACTTTTTTCTGCCCTGCAAATGATAGCTTGAATCTGCCAATCTGCCTTGTCACCTATATCTTTCATCAGTTTTTGTTGAAAAGGATTGTTGTACTTGCAAGTTGATTTCATGTGTTTAGGTTTAATACATTTATAGAATGTCCTCATAGTTCTCAAAATGTATTTGATTCACAAAGCTTCACATCATTATTAAAGCCCGTACCATGTGAAATAAAGTAACTTGCGAATGGTATTGGTACTTTTTCTGTACTTAGGGGGTTTGACACATAGGCGCCAACATCTTCCATAACAAACTGACTAGTGACATCAGTAACACAACAGTGATTTTAAAACCTACAAACATATACAAATATTTCCATTAGACATGTAAATTTCGTTAAAAGTAAAATTAAAGTCTGCTAGTAGAATTATCGGGATAAAGACTGTATTCTGAGCAAAGCCAGGGAAATAGGTGAACTAACACTGTCAGGATCTAAAGGCATGCTTTTCCCTGACTTTTCACAAGAAATTCAGAAGAATCACGCAATGTTCCAAGAAGTTAAAAAACATTTACAACTAAATGGTGCAATCTTTTTGATTGTAGATGCATGCACTTCGATACCATCTACTGCAAGAGTTTCCTACAGATCCCTTGATGAAAATATGGGTTTTTTGAATAATTTTTTTAAAGCATCAAACAACCAGCTCCTGGACTGAATCTGATGGGCTGGCCAGTCCTGAACAAATTATTAATTTAAAATAATTTGGCGTTCTTTTTAAATCTCTCACCAGACTCATAGGCATTCACAACCTTCTTTCTGAAGGCCTAAATAATATTTTATTATGATGACACTACACACATCATAAGCAAAAAGAACAACAGGCCCTAGATATCTGAGGTTTACACAAGAAAAGTTCCACTTCTTGCAAACACTCTAAAGAAAGTTCTAATCATTGGCACATAATCTGGAGCATCTAAATATTTGGATTTGAAGTGGTGGTAAATGCGTGGGTGTACTTGCTTTTTACACATGACAAATGTGCATTTTAGATAATGAAGGTTAGAAAAAATGAATATACCATGTCAGTTTTATGTTTCATTTGTTAACATAAATCACCTTTATTTGTAGGCTTTGTTTGAATGCAGATCTACTGTTTGTCTCTTCAAATATGTTGAAAACGTTAACAGTTTCCAAGGGGTGTACTTACCTTTTTACATGACTACATACGGTGTGTTTATATGTTCAGTATGTGTGTATGTGTTCTACAAGAAAATAAAACACATGATAAACCCCAATGCCGGGGAAGGGCTGCAGCAGCAGCAGCTTAACAACAACAGTTGTTGCTGCTGACTCAAAAAGATAATCCTAGAAGGAACTCATTCTGAACTGTGAATACATAGCAGTGTATAGCAGTAACTCCGTATACACAGACTGCCAGATCTCCCTAAACTAGTCCAAAACACACTGACAAATGGCTCCTGGAACCCACCCTTTTATAGTGAGAGGGCTTGCTTATCCAAGCACCCTTTTACTGGCCCTTCTTAGTCAGCACATCTAAGTTAAAAAGCCAAGAAGTATATTACGGTTAGTTGGCTACTATGGTGGCAAATTTCTGCATTAGTTCCGTGGGTTCACAAATTGCAGATGGGCAGGCTTCCCCTTAAACCCATGGTAGTCCAATACCTCATCCCTAATTTAATGTTTAAATACACTTTGACCACTTTTGACCGACAGTATATAAACATTCTGAATTACTTCACTTAATGTGAACTAAATGTGGCCTAGACAGTGACCATCAGTGCCAGGATAGGTCATCCAGTGCCCTGCTCAGGATGGGGCTAGGTGTCACTGTGGAGGATTAAGCTTCTGGAGGGGGTCAGGGGACTCTGCAGTAGACTTGAGGGATAAAGGTGCTGGAAGGGGCTGGAGCAACTGTGGGGGACAGGCGCTCTGAAGGAGGCTTGGGCTCCCTACAGGGGGTTGCAGGCTTTATGGGAGAAGGCTGAGGCACTGTGGGAGGTCCAGGTGTGGCACTGCAGGGGCTGGGGACACTGTTGGAGACTGGGTGGCACTGTGGGAGGTTGGGGGGCATTTTGGGGGCTGCACTGTGGGAGGTTCAAGGGCATTCTTGTCGGTTAAGAACACTATGAGGGGCTTAAGTCTCTGCAGCAGGCTGGGGACACTGAGGAAAGTTGGGGGTACTGAATGGGTGGGGGAACTCTTGGAGGCTGGGCAGCACTGTGAGAGGTTGAGGTGCACTTTGGGGGCTGAATTCAGCAGATACTCCACCCCTCCTTCCCCCACTGCACTAGAGCTGATAGCAATAAAGGAACCACTGAGAAGGAAAACTTCCTTCTCTCCCTAACCATGTAATGGATCACATTGGTCTTTGTTCCCCAAATGGACACCCATACTTATGCCTGCTCTGCTGCTGATCTTCATTGAGGGAGGTATTGATCTGACACACAAAATCCTTAAAATGCTTACAGGAGCCATATTTAAACTTTTTTTATAGCTACCAGAAATCCCCCCCAAGTATGATTTACTATAGTACTAGTGAGAATAAATTGCATCCATACTTCTAATGTAAAACTTTACATCATTCCACATTTGTTTTAGAAATCACCAAAGTTAATTGTTCATTCATCTGTATGCATCTGTCGTTGAAAAGAAAAGCTCTCAACAGTAATACCCTATGAAAAATATTACAAAAATGTTTCATGTTTTGCTTTGACCTGCAAGCTAAGTCCCAAGGGAAATACTGGCTTTCTACTTTGGAAAAATGAAGTACTGTACCATTTACAGTTGTAATTACATTTAATGAATAAACAAAAACAAAAACCATGCAAACACTGCAGACCAAGTACATGTAGTCTTTCATTGTATAATTAATTTTTTTCCTCTCATAACTTTCTTTTTGCATGCTCCTGTTGCATCCAGGAAAATTATGAAAACAACAGAAAGTACAGTATTGCACAAAAATATTTTATCACAGCGACACAGTAGTGCTCCCAAATGTAGCATAAAAATCATCCTGTTAACAGGTAATGTAATGTCGACTCTGGAAATATTTCTTATGACTTGGTAGTTTTCAGGATTTTGAAATATCTTTTATGTTCATCTACATTGGGGGATCGGTGCATAAACTATGTTCTCTATTTTTTTTTTTTTTTACAATTTTTGCCTAAAATTATTTTCTTTCTACAAATTCAGGCTGCAAAAGCAACATCAAAGAATTGTTGAAATAACCATCAAAGTGTAACTAAGGTTAAGAAATTCTAAATGCATAAAAACTGGTTTTCAATGAAAGATCACATCAGCATGCAGTGAATGTAGCTCAAGAGTGGGCTACATTCCTCTGCCTGGGTTTCAAAAGAGGGGGCAAGTATGATTAGACCTGCTTTGGGTCTAGGAGTCAAGTGAGCAGTATTCCTAGGGATACTGATGAATATATCGGTTATTGGTCACATCGGTAACAATATTATATTGAAGATTATTGATTGACCATTTAAAAAAAAAGAAAAGAAAAACAGGAAGAAACATTTTTTAATTAAGAAGAAAAATAACTGAACTGTATACCATAGTTATTGTTTTATTCCATCAATCTGCACAGAGCTGCATACAGATAAATAATTGGTGGAGGCATCCAAGAATTGGTTGCATGGGTTGTTTTGGAACTTTGTGCATATGGACTTTGATTTTATGATATACAATTTATTTCACCGTTGATATTGATTGTACAGTCACTTTACTACTTATCTCATCAGAGCACCTTGCATTATAGCTATGGATTAAGATTGTATTTTATATTGCTGGATTTATGTATGTTAATTGTTACAGTATTTTTTTTTATTGCACAGTCACTTTAGTATATAATACACGAATTACGAACACACACAGACCCTACACTTATTAGGAATTAGAGCGTGGCACGTTTTGTAGATGATTCAATCACTTCCATCTGGTATCCAGATTTAGTGTTTGCAGCTGTGGAG